TTCATTGTAGTCACACCACTAACTGGCAGTGTGACTCTGAGCAAGTCACTTCCTCTAGGCCTCAGTCTCCTATTCTGTAAACAGAGTCAATAATCCTCATACTCCCTCTTCCTCCCAGGGGGGTGTTGGGGGAAAGTGCTTTGGAAACCTTAAAGTGCTCTAGAAACACAAGTCACTGTTACCCCTCCTGACTCTGGAGTCTACAGGCCCAGCTACCCCCTGCCACCTCCACCCCATGGTACCAGCCCTTGGGAGAGGCCACTTTTATAGGTAGAAACATCTGCCTAAAAGTTGAATTTTCTCCCCACCTCAAGACACCATCTGAAACCCTCAAGTCCCATAGGACTATAGATCTGGAAGGGCCTAAATCGCTCATTTTACAGATGAAGAATCTGAGGCAGACAGAGGTTAAATGACTTGCCCAAGTTCACACAGTTGGGAAGTGTCTGAGGTTGAATTTGAACTCTGGTCTTGCTGACTTCCAGGCCTAACATTCTATCCATGCTACTATGCTTCCTCTCAATACCGACAGAGGAAAAAACCACCAGTCATGGAATCTGAATTGGAAAGAAACTGTCAAAACTGTGCCTGATCAAGGCTGCCCTCTCCAAAAATGCTGAGAGGTGAGCATTCTGTTTCTGCTTGAAGACTTCTAAGGATGGGGAACTCACTATCACCCAAGGCAGCCTATTTCACTTAGGTCAAATGATTAGGAAAGTTTTTTTTATTTTTTTTATTTTTGGGAATCCAGACTAAATTTCTAACCTCTACTTGCAAACCTCTAGGGATGGGGAGTTTCTTAGGTGAAGTGGCTCACCTGCCCCCAAGGTCACTTCATGACACTGGGAGAAGATTGAGAGAATGGAAGAGTTGGGAAAAGCTCAGATCTTCCCACTGTGAGGGGGGACATGATATTTATTTGGAGTCCCACTTTGGCAGGCCATCCAGCCCACTCCATGAGGGCCGGAAGACGCAGCTGCCTGCAGTCAGGTGCTAAACCAGTGGCTTAGGGCCAGATTTAGAATTTCAACCCCTCCCCAACTCCTCTCAAGCATTTTACAGTTATCAAGTAATTAATGAATTAGTTTATATATATTTTCTCAGCCTAGCACCAGAGAAGAAAGAAGCTGGGCTAATTTTAACTTCTTAGGGGGCGGGAGCAAATTTGAGTTGGTTTTTGATGGGGAGGGCAGGGTTCTACACTTTTCAGAAAGGAAACAGGATATGGAGAAAAAGCCAGGGAGGAGAAAAACTACTATCCCCGTCCCTGTCCCCCCCCCCCCCCCGCTTCTGTAAGGCCCAGGGACTGAGGGAGTGGGGGAAGGGGGGTGGAATATCCTGGAGTGTCACCTACAGTGTTTTCTGGTTATCTGAAGTTGTGTCTTTGATGTTCCATTTCCCCCTCCCCTTTCTCCCTCCCTTTGCTTGGGGGCATCACTGAGGGTTAGAATGATCATAGGCCTGAAGTGCCCACATCATGGTGGGTCAGGGTTCACTTTCTGCCTTAGACCTTTCCTAGGTCTAACCCTGGCCAAGTCACTTATCTCTTTGTACCTTGGTGATTTTATCTGTAACATGAATGGGTTGGACCCAATGACCTCTATGGTCCTTTCCAGCACCATATCTAGGATTCTCTGTGTGGTCTTAAACAAATCTCTTTCAACTCCCTGGGCCTCAGCTTCCTTCTCCGTGTTAAATAAGGGCTAGACTAGACCTCTGAGATCCTTTTCAGCATGAGATTGAGGATCCTATGACATTCCTGGGCCTCAGTTTCCTTTTCCACCAAATGAGGGGGTTGGGTTAGATCCTTAATAAAAGGGTTTGTCCTGTGAAGTTTGGATTCAGTCAAAGGGCTGCACTTGAGGACCTAGAGGGCCATATGTGGCCTTGAGGCCGAAGGTTCCCCACCCCTGGGATGGTTTCTGAGGTCCCTTTCAGCTCCAGATCTAGGGTTCTAGGATCCCACTGTTGAATTCCTTCCTACCCTTTAAAACCCAGCTCAAATGCCACCTCCTTTAGGAAGCCTTCCTTGATCCCTCCCACCCCCATCAGTAATGACCTTTCCTCATCAGACTCCATGGATATCTTTTCACTTACATCAAGAATATCAACACATACCATTTTTATACTTGCTATTTTAAGCATCAGGGCAGCTAGGTGGCGCTGCAGTGGACAGAACACCAGGCCTGAAGTCAGGAAGACTCATCTTCCTGAGTTCAAATCTAGCCTCAGACACTTACTAGCTGTGTGACTCTGGGAAAGTCACTTCACCCTGTTTGCCTCAGTTTCCTCATCTGTAAAATGAGTTAGAGAAGGAAATGGCGAACCACTTCAACATCTTTGCCAAGAAAATCCCAAATGGGCTCATGAAGAGTCAGACACGACTGAAACAAATGAACACCACCACAACAAAAGTTTAAGCATCACAAAGGCCTCATCACACAGTAGCTTTGGAGCCTGCCAGCTCTGGGTTCAAGTCCTTCCTCTGACACACACTGGTTATGGGTCCCTAGGCAAATCACCTAACTTCTCAGTTAGGCTCCATAGACTTCTCAGATCCCGAACCATTTCTTGGACTCCTGAATCACTGAGATTTCTCCACAGTGCCATCCCCTGGCTATGCCCTGCACTTGGCAGAGGTTCCACAAACCCTCTGAGGTGAGAGGCCATCGAGCCCAATCTTTCCCTGGCCAAGAATGCCCTTTCCAACATCCCAGCATGTGCTGATCCACCTTCTGCTTGAAGACGTCCAGTGGCAGGGACCCATGCCAGACTATTCCACTTTAGGCCAGGTCTAATTATCAGGGAGTTTTTTCCCCTCAGCACCTAGCCTCAGTTGGCTTCTCTGTCTCTATTTACTGAAGGAGGTTGGTGAACCTAGAGGAATGAAGGATTTAGAGATGGCAGGAATCTGAAGAGATCAACCAGCCCCAAACCCTAATTTGACAGACAAGGAGGACTGAGGCCCAGAGAGGGGGAGAAATGCTTCCTACATCACACAACTCAGCAAATATCTGAGATAGCTTTGCAGAAAGTAAGCTTTGACTGCTAGCCACACTCTTAGTGGCTGAGGGGAGCCAACATTATTAAACCAGGAAGGAGGGGTGAGTGCCCAAGGCTTCAGGCTCCTCCACTCCTTCTATTCATCCATCCTAAGCCAATTCAGAGCTCGGGTGGCCCCAGTGCATTAGAAAGAAAAGATCAGTGGAGTCTGGGGACCCAGATTTGAATTCTAATTGCAGATACTCACCAGCTGTGGGACCTAAACAAGTGGGTTCCTCTGCATGGGCCTCACTTTCCTCTTTGGTCAAATGAGAATGTTTAATCTGGTGGACTCTAAGAAACTTGCTGGTGCTTTCAATCCCTTGCCCCCTTGTTGGGTCACCCAGTCACTGTCTTCCTAAGATGCCTTCAAACCTCCCACGACAAAGTGCTGTTTTCGAGCAAATACAGTCATTTCATGGGGTTGAGGTAGTCTGACTATTCTATGGCCATGGAGGAAACCGACGTAAATGAAATCTGGAGACAGAGTGGGCATACAGGTCTGAGTGTTCCTGCCCTTTGGCTCCCAAGGAACAGAGTGCTCTGGGCCCTGCTCATAGGGGCCTCTTGTACGGAGGGGTCCAAGAGGGACTGTTCCAGGGGAGGCAGCCAGAGCAGACTACAAGGAATCTAGCTTCTCCCCCAGGCCTAGCTTAAGACTCCAGAGGATCACAGACTTTCAGAACTGGTAGAGACCTGAGAATACAAAGCAGGCAACCAGGTGGGTAGGAATTTTCCTTGAGGCTCCTGGGGCCAGGGCCCTGTCCTTGGGGGAGGAAAAGGGGTGCCACAGTAGAAGCAACTGTCTGTCTGTAAGGACTGCCTTCTCAGTCAGCCATATTTCTAAGGATTTGATGCTTGCATTTTTCAACACATGTGTGTATACATGTGTGTGCATGTGTGTACCCACAGGCACACAGGTCTACATGTACAAATGCTCTCACACAAAGGCACATATACATAGAGAACGTGAACACACACAGATGGATATAGGCACATAGAGAGTAGCATGCACAAAGGCTGAGATACACACACACACACACACACACACACACACACACACACACACACACATTCTTAGAGGCTCCTACATATAGAGTTGGAAGGGAGGGCCTTCATAGGCCAGCTAGTCCAAAACTCTCATGGCACAGATGAAGAGTCCCAGGGAGATGAAATAATTCGCACTCATGGTAGGGAGTGAGAGCTGGAGGATTAGAATGCAGATCCCCTGCCTCCAGGGAAAGTTCTCTTTTTTTCCACTTTGCTATGGAGCTTCTCCCAGGCTGTCCCAGGCAACAGACACAGAGACGTGTGCATGAAGACACATGAACATACATAAGCCTATAGGCAGACGTGTATACACATGCATGGACAGCCACACAAAAAACAGCTACACACGGGTACACACACACACACACACACACACACACAGACACACACACACACACACGCACACACACACACACTTGAAGGCACACAGTCCTTCTAACACTCACCATCGGAGCCCCCAGCTTGCCTTGATATTTGTGAAACAACTTCCCCTAAGAGACAGGCCCATAAACATGTCACCCGAGAGCTCTGAAGACAGCCAGGAGCCCACAGGATGTAATAAAAGACAGCCAACGTACCCTGGGTTTGAAATCTCACAGTTTCCCCATCTACTTGGGGAAAGCAGCCAAAGTCAAGGGCAGCAGTGGGTGGTGTGGAGCCCATAAAAGGCCTTGGATTTATCTCTCAGAGAAATTAATCTCAGAGAAAAAAAAAAATCAAAGGTTAATGCTCCCAACTTTGGTGTCTCCATATAATAACTCAGAAACTCATTTTAAAAAATCACTTCTACTCCAAGCACTGGACGGGCTGACGCTTAAAATGTGGCCAGCAAGAGGAAAGCCTTCCGATTATAAAAGCCAACAGACAGGCTTCCAGGGCCCCCAGAGGAACAAGAAGGAAGTCCTTACTTTGTTAATGAGTACTTGCTCGGCCCCAGGTTTTAGGGGTTTCCAATGCCGTCTCTTCTTTCGACTCTCCCTCTGGACTTCCAAGGTCTTGGAGTTTAGGACCGTGCTTGCTGTGGGGACAAAGCACAGAAATCAGGATTGGAAGGCTATTTGAGGAAATCTAGTCCAACTGGTCCAACCGAGGCTCAGGGAACTCACTGGATCACAGAACTAGGGTGGGAAGGGACCTCTGAGGCCAGCTAGTCCAGAGAAGAGAAATCACTAAGGGGGCAGCTAGGTGGAGGAGTGGATAGAGCACTGGCCCTGAAGTCAGGAGGACCTGAGTTCAAATCTGGCCTCAGACCAAACACTTGACATGTACTAGCTGTGTGACCCTGGGCAAGTCACTTAACCCCAATTGACAAAAAAATTAAATAAATAAATAGATAGATAGATAGATAAATAAGAATTTAAAAAAAAAAAAAAAAGAAATCACTTCGCCAGGGTCACACTGCTGGGATCCCAAAGTTAGATCTTTTGACTCCAGTCAATTGACAAGCCAGTTACTCAACTCATACTATGTCAAGTGCTATGCTAAGTGTTAGATACACAAAGACAAAAACAAATGGAACAGTTTCCACCCTCAGGGAGCTTACATTCTATTGGGGAGACATGTCCATCAATAAGGATATACAACATCAATACAAGGTACTTTGGTGAAGGAGGCCTTAGCAACTTGGGGTGGCTCCTGCAGGAGAGGGGCTGGAGCTGAGCTCTGAAGAAAATTGGAGATTCTAAGGGGCAGGGTGAGGAAGATGGGTCTTCTTGGGCTGGGGCACAGACGAAGCAGAAATGTGGAGAGGGAAGCCTATTTGGCTGGATTGTAGAGTAGAGAAAGAAAGAAAAGAAAGAAAGTAAATACGGATAAATCTGCAGAGGCAGTTGGCATTGGGAAGTAGCAAAGCCAGGCCTTCAATCAAGCCATCAACCAGAATTTATCAAGCCCCTCTTATATGCCAAGCATCGTGCTAGGCACTGGGGAGGATCTGGCCTCCTGCCTACTCCAATGCTTTCTTCATTAATGCAGCACACCTCCATGAGCAAAGACACAGAATGTCAGACTTAGAAGGGACTTCCTAGGCCTTCTGGTCCAATCCCTTCAATTTACAGATGATGAAATGGAGACCCAGGGAGAGGTCAGTGACTTATCCCATGGCCCCAGCTAAGAGAGTAGTAACAATGGCCTGTGTCACTGGGAGCTGGGTGAATCTGTCAACAGCCCCCAAGACTGGGTGCCAAGGAACAATGTGGAAAGAAATGAGTGTTTCTCCAAGTCCTTCTCCATCCCCTGGGGGTGGTCTGATGACCAGGAAGGAGCCAAAAAGCCAGTGATAATGTAATAGCTGGCGCCTTACAATAGCCCTGCAGAGCCAGGCACCACAGCAATTATTACCGAAAATGTGGCTCCCAGGGTTAAAGGACTGGCTTGTGGTCATACACAGCTTACAAGTGCCTGGAGCGGGGATTTGAACTCAGCTCCCACCCTTGTTGGGTCCAGCAGTCATCCCACTCCATTATCATGCTGCCAAGGATGCGCCTTGAGTGAACGATATATACAATGACATCAAGCGGCATGGCCATCCCCAGGACCGCTAGCCTGGCTGGACACCTGCCCGCAACCATTCAGGCCTCACCCCAGACCACACCTATCACCAAGGAGGGGAAGCTGACAGCAGCTGGAGCCCAGGACCTGATCTGGGAAGAGAAGCCTGGGACTTCTTGGGCCCAGCTCAGCTTGGCTTTGGTTCATTAGTTGGTTTTTAAATCATCACAGATGTGATGGGGAAGTCGAGCTGCCCTAGAATCCTTATGTCAAACCACGCCAGGGCTGGTCCTGTTCCTGGACAAACACTATCAGAGCTGGGAGGGGACTTAGAACAGGGAATGTCAGAGCTGGGAGGGGACTTGGAAGAGAGAA